AGAGCTTTGCGCCTCAGCTGCCTATTCCGATCTCACTGGTGAAACACCATTTTTTTTCTTCGGTTTCACGAGTGGAGTTAAAGTTGTTTTTGTAAAAATGTTTGCCTGTTACAATTTCTCCTGTATTGTCATAAAAAGCTGAGAGAGGTCAGATGCCCAAGAAACTAGTAGGAGCTTGTTTTTTCATCTTCATGCAGACCTCTTGTGAGAGCACCTTCTTAGGAGGTACACTCGAGGAGCTATTGAGATTTTACCCGTTTGGTAAAAAGATGTGCTGAGCTACTTCACGAGTTGGAGAAGAAACGTGGCCTTAATCAGGACGGATTCACCGTGGATTCCACAAAGGGCACGGGCACACCAATGCCATGCATGTACTGTTCGAATATAACCCATGGTTTCCTGGTTGACGTTGTAGTTGGACACATGCGGGAACACGGCGACAGTGCGCCAATACGGGAGCCGCTGCACAGTGCTAGCTAGAGCACAGTGGTCAGGGACTCGGGACAAAAGCAGAGTACACGTACATGCACCCCACACACAACGAACGCAGGGCCAACTTAACACGCACAGTGCGCGTCCACGGTCCACCGCGGAGCGGAGCGCGGACCGAGAACCAGTGCAGTGCACGGCCGCGCTGCTCTCCGAGACGACAAACTAGTTTAAAAGAAAAAAACGTGCACACACGCGCGCGCAAGCAAGACGGGCATTCATTCATCGCCCGGCCGCGCGCCCACCCGCCGACGCCGCGACGACGGTTAACGCCGCGGCCAGGCCGGGTAGGAGCGAGCCGCAAATGCAATCACGGGAAGTAAATACACGCGGCGGCCGGCGGCGTCCACCTCCGTGCGCCCAAATCGACCGCGCGCCAGCCTGCCTGCCGGCCAGATCGAGGCCCGTACGGTTGATGAGTGGCAGCCGGGTCCATCCAAATCTGCCTACCTACTGCTACCTGTACGGCCAGGCACCGAGGCACGTAGGACGCGCCGCATTGATCATCCGTTGTCCGTTCCGTTCATTTGCGTCTCTCCCGGTCCCGGAGGACTGCAACGTCCGTGGCTTCTGATTTGGTGCTTAATTGCTTATGCGTGGATGGCTGGCCGTGATGACAACCTCGTGCAACTGTTTGACTTGCGACGGTGGTGCCAGTCTCTGCCTGCATGCCCGTTGATTGTCGTCCTTGTCGGTTTCCCTCTAGTGGGATTGTGGGAAGGGGAAATTACTGATTATTACCAGCGGGCAGCAGGCAATGATTGACACGGGCCATTTCAAGACTGTAGCCAGCCACCGGATTATCGGGGGAAAGCTGTGGTTTGACTTCTGTGCGAAGAGGGCAACCGGGGCACTGATGATGGACTGATGGGCACAGACAGATATATAGTAGTGGTCACTCAGTGACTGTTGTGTCAACAGGTTGTCGTCTGTCCTTAGGGCAAGGCTAATAATGCAGCGGACTTGTTAGCTGTAGGGTTCTTTTTAGTCTCTTCTTAGCCTACACATATAGTAGTTAGCTCTTCAGTGTTAATACATGGCCTACTTGTCTCTTTTCATGAGTTTATTGGTTCTTGTGTTCAAAGCGATATAAGCTTACAACCCGTTTCTCTTCTCTCTCTTCCCTTCTCTCCTCCACCTTAGTATTTAGTCACATGGCCTGTTATTATACTTGCTCTTATTGGCTTAGGCATCGTTCTCTAACACGAGCTTGAGGCAGGTGAGTGACAGGGGCACGATCGAAACGTCGTCGTTAAGCTCCAAGCGCCTCATCTTGCACATCATTAAGCTTTGTCAGTCGCCGTGTGGACGATGCAGCAGTTTTCAACTCGACTTTTTTTTCTGGCCTGTAGCTGTGTCATGCATGGATGCGCATGTCGTGTCAGAACCTTTCGAAAAACAAAATCTGCACTAGATCACATTCTCAAAAGGCAAAGCTATACATGCTCCTGTGTATTATTCCAGATGTGTAATTGTACCGGCAGTTCTACCTCTTTTATAAACAAACAAAAAAATAGTATATAGGTCTACCGTTAATTTTTCCCTGTAATTGGCAGAAAACACTTAAGCATGCCATGCACGATTATTATCAATTGGTACTAGAGTAGGCCATGCAGTTGGAAGTTTTGATCGAACTGCATTGACAGAAGCACTCACTACCTCTATCCTGATGCAAAAATGTTCAGATTGTAGTAGTTGTGTAGTCCTAACAGACTACTTCTATGGCCCCGTTCGCTTGGAGAAATATGGAGGAATCTGAATGAATCTGGAGAAATTTGTGAGAGAAAAACACTGTTCGAATAAAAAAAGAAACAGATCAAACCGGGTTTAAGGACACGCGAACGGGGTCTATACAGATTCAGGTGGGGACCGCATTATTGCTCGTAAAGTCCTCGGCATCGCATTATATTCACATGCTACTTAGTTGCGAGATCACGAGTCCCTTGAATAATTTTGTTCCCTGGATTCATCACACAAAAGTCGCGATCCAAATGGCCCCATGCCCATGCATGGAAATGAATGAATATGCTAGTAGCACTAGAAGAGAGCAGCCGTTGGGGGCTTTAATTCAAGTCATGCCTGCCCTAACTTTGGCTACACGACACTTGTGTGCTCCCACGCGTATTTACGAGGCACCACCCAACCAACCCCCTCCTCCGGGCTCCGCCGCTCCGGCCACGGGCCACCCCCGTTTGATGTCACGAATTTAACGACTGCCACGAAACCGCCTTGACGGCCGGCCGGCGGATGGCGAAACTTTGTCAGCATGCACGCATTTGTTCCCATCTCCTCTAGGGCCTGTTCTTGTAGACCGTCTCCAACAACCACGACTCAAAATATATACTTAATTCATCCCAAATTGTAAGACGTTTAACTTTTTTGACACCAAGTTTGACCACTCGTCTTATTTAAAAAATCTGTGTAAAATATCACTTCTTTCGTCGTGGTTTGGTTTATTAATAAAAATTCTTCAAGAATGACTTAAATTTAACTATATTTGTACAAATTTTTTGAATAAGACGAGTGGTCAAACTTAGGGGAAAAAAGTCAAACGTCTTACAATTTGGGATGGAGGGAGTACAAGACTCATTTGTCCTTTGGGTGTCGTTACAGACAAAGAGTTCAATACATATTTTTTATCTTCTCCAACAACAAGAACTAAAAGACAACCCTTTTCTGCAAATGGGTCTTCAGGAAAGAGGATACTCAGATTTAGGTTATGTCTCTCCCGACACCTAAAATGGATCTTCCATACAGTTACTCTGTTTGATGCTATAGATATTGTGTTGGAGACCCATTTTGGGTTTGGATTCCTCAATGCGTCTCCTGTTAGAGACAGCCTTACTTGGGAATGGGTGCCCAAAACGGTTTTAGCTGGACCTATTTATAGTAGCAATGATCAGCCGGATTAATTCCTACCCTTAATTCACCCTAAGGGCTCGTTGAGTCATTCCCGCTCAAACGATTCCTGGCCAAGTCTGCTATATACAAATTAAAATTACATTCCTGGCTGGCGGAACGGTTCCGGGACGTCATTCCCCGCGAACCGAACAGGGCCTAAACGAATGAGGCCTTACGAATTTCTTCCCATTCGTGCGTATAAACTCCAGGTTAGGTATTGTGACAATACTGCCCACATTTCCCGTCCAGACAGGACGGTATACGGTACGAATAATCCGGTTACCCGGTGCTGTAGTACGCTGCATGCATCATCATTCCGCCTGTCATTGATAGCTCGTAGAGACGCAGAAATTACAGAACGCCATTTTCAATACATCCTCTCTCTCTCTCTCTCTCTCTCAGATACACATCAGCTGACCAGCGGCTCTGTTACTCTCTTCGCTTTCAAGGTTGCGTTTGCCGTATAGGCTACAGTTGCGCTTTTGCGCGGCCACAATGATGGAGCCGGAGCCATTTTGCACTTTGATTTTTCGCTTTGGCTGCGGCCGTCTTCCGATCGAACCAGATGCTCCGTGCAAGCTTTCACTCACTCATTCCCCAAATCAAATTAACGCCCTCCTCTCTCTTTTCTCTTCTTCTTAAACATTCTTCAAACTCTCCTTGCTAGTACTACTAGCTTTAGTTTGTCCTCTGATTTTGCCCTGTCCTGCTCTACACCGTCTTTACCGGATTCGTATATTCTCTTTGCCGAAGAGGCTTACAACAAGAGAACAAGAGCCGCGAGAGCCTCATACAGTCATACGCATGGACGGACTCGATAAAATACGGGCTCACATGCTTATGGTCAGCTTTGCGTGCAACAACCCGCCCACACGGTACACGAGCGGACGTCTCAGCGTCTGCGTCTCACAAGCAACAAGGCACGCCAACTCAAGACCCTGTATGCGTTTTTAATCGTGTCATCTTTGTCTTGGTGCTGCGCGCCGCATCGACCAGCCAAAGGCGCCACGCCGCGCATGGAGATTGGAGAGGCAGCCCGAGCCCGGCTCCAACTCGAAGCAGCAGGCACTATTTGAGCTGAGCAGGCATTCTCTGTCTGTCGCGATCTCTCTCTCTCTCTCTCTCTCACACACACACACACACACACAGACACAACTGCGCTACTCGAAGCAGCAGTCATGGTGACTGGCAGCAGCGGGCAGGCCCCACGCTGGCTGTGCAGACAAAAGGAAAGCTAGCTGCCTCCAGCTTTTGGAATGTAAGCAGCCGTAGCGCAACCTGTTTGTCTACAAGCCCCCTGTTGGCCCGTGCCGATGGCAGCGAAACCATCCAACGGAAGTTTTCAGCTACTGATTCAGTTCCTCTACAAGCCCCTTTGTTTGGCCCGTGCCGATCGCAGTCTACGGGTACAGGAGGAATGAGCCGCTGGTAGATTGGATCATTGGAGAGATTTTTATTCGTTCGATTTACAAGTTACGCTGATAATTAGATTACACGGCATCGCAACTGTGAGGTCCAGTCACCACTTAGCCAGGCTAGGTGGCTAGCGAGCTAATCCTACACCGGTCATGATTCATGAACGGTAGCCGGCAGAGGCGTGCTACTGCTAGCTAGCCTCGCGTCCTTATGATGGTGATGGTGCCGCGGCCGGGGGTGTGCAGGCGCGTGAAGCTGGCGACGGCCTTGCCCGAGATGCCCGGCTGGTCCGCGGACACGCGCGGCGCGCACGCGAACTCGCCCACGGGGTGCCGCACCGGCCGCGCGGGCCGCATCAGGATGCGCGCGTTGATGTCCGCCAGCGTCGCGCCGCCGTCCAGGCCGTCGGGCTTGAGCAGCGCGAACGGGCACACCACCCCCGCGGCCGCGGCCGCCTTCCGCCGCTTGTTGCTGCCGTCGTTGCTCTGGCTGCTGCACTCCGCCGCCGCCGCGACCTGCTCCGATGACGACTCTGCTAAGAACAACACGGCAACAAAGCGCGGGTTAGTTTAATTAGCAGTTAGCAAGAGTGGAACGAATGATGGGATGTCAGTGAGAAATGAGAATTCGCATGCGCGGCCGTGCGCGGCGTGACAAGACGAGACCCGCACCTTCGCGTGTCCCGCGTTTCAGCGAGGGGGCGGAGGTCCTCCTCGGCAGCGGCGGGGTCCGCGCCCACGCGGCGCCCTGCCCCTGCCCCTCCACCAGCTGCAGCTGCAGGTCGACCCCGACGGCCCGCGGGTCCCCGTGGCAGTCGGAGGAGGACGAGCTGGGGAGGGGCTCTGCCTCTGCGGCGGGGGCCTGCTGGTGGAACACCGCTCTCTCCGCTGCCAGTGCCGGCGCGGGACCCGCCGAGAAAATCGAGCTCAAGGGATCATCGTCGTCATCATCACCTGCAGGACAGCAGGCAGGAGAGGTTGATTAGTCGGTTCCATCGGCTGAGTTCGAATTGGGGAGCGACGAAGAAGATTATGCACACACTAGGCAGTACTTATAATTTACTAGTAGAATCTCGGGCGGCACTAGTACAATCTAAACACGTAGAGCCCAGATCTGTCTTTTCTTCAAAAGACGCGCCCTCTTGCCTGCCTGTTCTGGCCTTGCAAGTCAGACGCGGGGGCATCATGCTCACTTGCATTTCTCGACTCTCATATGCATATTCTAGTACTCCAGTGCGAAGTGAGCACGTAGTCGCCACTATAATACTCACTCTAGTATAGTACTCATAATGATTTGAACAATGTGCTACCAATCCATGCATCGATCGTGCGGAAATCATGGGCGTGCTGCTGCTGCTGCTGCGCCTTGAGCGGCTCGCCGCCCACGTCGCCGTCGCGGCAGCTCGTGCCCCAGAAGCTCTGCAAACGACACGCGAGGAGGGGTTTGTTGATGAGCTAGCGGTAGCAGAGTAGTAAATTCAGAGCTGGCTGCTACTGCTAATGCCGTGACGACGCACCAGGAGAAGGTCGTCCAGCTCGCCGGGGATTGCGGCGGCCACGTCGTGCGCCGACGGCGGTGGGGCGGGCAGCGCCGGCGGCTCCATGCCTGCGGCGACTGCAAAGTGAAACCGACGAGGATCACCAATAGTCCGGGCAAAGAAAGGTCGGCCAGCAACAGAAGAGGTCGACTCGTATGTACAGAGCGGGAAGAGGTCGTGGACGTCGGCGGCGAGGAGCCCGAAGCAGCCGAACGGCGCCGGCGCTGCTAGCTGCTCCCACCCGAGCAGGAAGCAGTCGCCGGCGCCGCCGCCGCTGCTACTGCTGCTGCTGCTGTAGTCGTCGAAGCAGTTGGTGGTCGGACCAGACGCCGCCATCCCCATCATGTGGAGCGGCCACGCCTGCGGCCTCCCCTCCATCAGCTGCACCTCCCTTTCCATGTGGCTCGCCGGCCTCGGTGTAGCGGCAGCCGGCAGCAGGAGGACGACGTGAGTGAGACTGAAACAGACAGAGTGTGGAGAGCGGTGGACTGTGAGTGAGAGAGCGAGGCTGGGTGGAGTGGAGACAGACAGAGCTTGGCGTGCTTAAATAGCAGGGCTTTTTCGCCGGGGCGTGAAAAGCAAAAGCGTGCAGCCTACTAGCATACCGCACTAGCATGAAGTCCGCTGCTCCCACTCTAGAGGGTTGTTTAGGCCTTATTTAGTTCGTGTTTCCCCACTCTAGAGGTTGTAATTAGATGCTCAAAAGATTCGGCCTGACAATCAAATTGTGTAATTAGATATAACTAAAGTTTGATGTGATGGAGAGAAAATAAAAAAACTTGGAATCTAAACAAGGCTTTAGATGCCATGACTAAAATTCAGATATAACGTAAGGGTGTCGCGTACCGGACTAGCATGTCAAGTCCACTGCTCTCACTCTAGAGGGTTGTTTAGATGCCGTGACTAAAATTTAGGTCAGCCTACTAGCATACCAGACTAGCATGTCAAGTCCACTGTTCCCACTCTAGAGGGTTGTTTAGATGCCGTGACTAAAATTTAGGTATAACGTAAGGGTGCCGCATACCGGGCTAGCATGTCAAGTCCACTGCTCTCACTCTAGAGGATTGTTTAGATGTCGTGACTAAAATTCGGGTATAAGGTAAGGGTGTCGTATGAAGTGTTCGGATACTAATAAAAAAATAAATTACAGAATTCGTTGGTACTCCACGAGACGAATTTATTAAGCCTAATTAATCCATTATTAGCACATGTTTACTGTAGCCACGCATTGTCAAATCATGAAATAATTAGGCTTAAAAGATTCGTCTAGCAAATTAGTCGTAAACTATGCAATTAGTTTCGTAATTAATATATATTTAAGACTCAATACATGTGTCAAACATCCAATGAGACAGCGACTAAAGTTTAGAAAGAGCAACCAAACACACACATACACACACACCTCTGTTACTGTGCAGCTGTGTCACTTGTTTGTGCTATGCCCGCTTGGTACATGCCTGTACGTACTTTCGTTGAGCCGGGGAGAGAGGGGGGGTAGATACCGGTGGGGTTGAGTAGACGAGTACAAAGTCCAAGTGAAGCAACGAAAGCAAAAGATGAGGGTGGTTGAGCGCCCGCCGGGGGGCTCTTTCTCGTGATTCGTTATGTTCTTCCCGTGCCGCCGCTTTGTTCTCCTTTCCTTTGCTTGAGTCCAGTGAGATCTCCTCTCCTTTCTTTCTTTACGGTTTGTTCGTCGTCGGTCGAGGTCCCTATTGTTTTGCACTCGCAGACTCTCTCTCTCTCTCTCTCTCTCTCTCCCCCAGTCAACCGATCCGTCCTACAATAATCTGCTTTTGTTTTTCGCGCTGATTCCATCGGCTTGTTCCTGGGCATCACGAATCAGATACCTGCGCCTGTGGCTGTGTCAACCATTTCGAAAACTGTCGGCAGAGCGAGGTTCGTCTGCAATTAGCGATTCTTTTAGCGTCTTTTTTTTTTCCCAATCATTTCTTCTCCGGCTCAAAAGTCTCCTCCAATGTGACCTTCGCCGTTTTAAGAATGACAGTGAGCGGGACTGCGAGTCTGTTTGCTTACGCCCCCAATTTTTATACGTTTCGTGTCAGTTACGGGTAGGTCAAAGCTCGCTGCAGGCAGCCATTGCTGTAGTGAGATCACTGGTCAGAGGGTGAACAGCAGCGGCTTCGTCAGCTTTTTTCTCTCCCTCTCCTAGCCGGAGCCCGAGGAGGAAACGCCAGCAGGCACAGCACAGGCCCAGAAATACCTGCCCCGGCCGAAAAGACAGTAACGTTTTTTACTCCCTAGCCTACAGTACATTTCTACTCCTAAATAATTGACTTCCAATTTGAACTCCACTCTCTATGGTTATGTAGCAGCAGCAGCAAGTGAACACGCCGTTTCCGAGTAGAATTACAGGCTTCTCGCTGAAGCTACTGTACAGATTCGATCCCAGCAGCTCTTTCTTTTCCTCGTCTTTACCTACCCCACAGAAGCTGCTCCGCTTTTTCTAAAGTTTACCGGGAGAAGCAGAGGGTTCGGTGGCCACACTCGGCTGGGCTAATCGCCCGTGTCCACTTCCGTTCCCTTTCCTTTTGCTCGCCTCTCTCTCTCTCTCTCTCTCTCTCTCTACTTTGGTTAGGCGGTGGGCTGAATTATTACAGCCCATCATGTGGCGAGGTGAGACAAATCCAAGGAAACGGGCTCCACGTAATAAAATCGAGGCCTCAAATTTGTTTGGGGGCGAGGACAACCCAACAAAAAGCCACCGGGTTACCTACCCGCCCGGGCCCACAGGGTCATCGGGTCAACGACCAAGAACGGCGAAGAATGAGAGCATCAACAGATCCCGTCAAAGTGGATTCTTTCGCCTAGCATGTATTTTACTTTCCACGGTACCTTCACGTAGGTATCTTTTCTGTTCAGAATTTACCTACGCTTATACGAATTATTAGAACAACACGTGTCTAACTAATTAATGATACAAAGTCTGAAAACAAGATATATTAAAATAGTGACACGGTTTGCTGCATAAATCTCCGAGTCATAAGTAATCTAGTTGATCATATACCTTCTATTTCAACACACAGACACACATGTTAGTCCATGATAATTTTCGTGTATATGCAAGAGCTTACAAATGACTCTTGATTAGAGCACTCCGCCATTACATGACATCCACAGAGCAAAATGAGCATAGTTGTTAAAATCTACGATTTTGCTATACGATCTTAGCTAAGAGGTATAATTCTATGATCTTAACCAGTATAGTATGTTTCTACATTTTCTATGTTTATGATATTATCTAGTCATCTGATTCGATTTAGAATGTATTATTTTGATAACCTTAAAACCGAGGAGTTCGTGTCCGTATGGATCTAGAATCTAGATACAAGATGTCCAACTACACCCTAAGGTGCATGACAAGATCACTTGGAGAATGACAATATTCCACCCACTCAACATATCACATTTAGCTCAAAGGAGTAAGGGCGCGTTTGGGACTGTTTAAAATCAGATCTAATATCCCCCCTCACTGCGAGAAACGAGAAAATCCCACCAAACACCCCACCAGAATCGATGATTCTTTCCAACGCCGGAGACACAACGACCGCGAGATTGAACTAGCGCTCACATTTAATGTACCACGGGGTGGAGGCGACAGTATCGATACCACACCGCATGGTGCCCCCATGCCGCGGTCCCAAACACGCTGTGTGCCAAGCAAAAGCACAACCTGATGTGGAAAACTAATGCAAATTCTTCACTTGAATTCTTATACTCCCTTCACTCCAACTTATAAGATGTTTTGATTTTTCTACGTACATAGTTTTTTGCTATACACTTAAATATATAATATGTCTAGAAAAATCATATTATACATAGCTTATCTAGATACATAGCTAGCTTCTGCTCACCATCACCTACTCTACTCCTTTTTTTTTTTGAACATATCACCTACTCTACTCCTGAGGAGCTTTATCACCTGCCGCCTGCCGGCCGGGCTCCTGTGTTCTGGAAGGGTAGAACTGGCGAACTGCATCTGGGCCTGGGCCTCGCGTACCGGGCTACCAGCAGTGTACAACACTACTGCTACTCGGACAGTCGCAACAATCTCCTGGAGTCCTGGCAGCGAGCCAGCGACACTGGGAGAGGCCTACACTCTACAGTTGCTTTTTTTTAAAGATAATTGTAAGTGTATAAGAAAACTAGCTTCCTTCTCCTTTGGAAAAAAAAGGACCACAGCGTGACTGCGAGTCTGCGAGAGCACAATGTTGCGCCGAAAAGACGTACGATTTCAGTGCAGACAGTATCTCTGCCTTTTCTCACTTTTCCGTCGCTTTTGGAGTCTGATTTCCCCACCAATCACGCCGAACGAGCTTTATCGTTTCTATTGTACCCATTTGTCTTTTACCTCACTCCGTCTAGACGCCTGATTTCTTACTACTCGTCGTCTTCAATTCTTCATTCTAGTGCGACTTAAGTAAAGTTAGCTTGGCTAACGCTCAAGCTCATAGAATGAGGTCTGTTTGGTCCAAGAGCTAATAATTAAAATTAGCTTTAGTAGGTCTATACACTCCAGCTAATGAATCAATTAATAGCTCAAAATGAACTATCTGTTAATAAAAACTTATTAACTGGTAGGAGTACTATTTAGCTAAGTACTAGAACTATTATTAGTTGGAGAATCCAAACAGGACTCACCTAATAGCCTTGTTAGTAAAAAAAAATATTGCTCCCTCCATCCTGAAATAGGGGATCTAGAGTTCAAATTTGCACCAAAATACAAGGTATTTTGGATTCCCAACTCTCTTTCTCCTGTGTCCTTTTTTTGGCAAGAAATATTGAGATTCATTTTAAACTTGACGTCATCTAAAACAATCAGCCAATAATTATTAAGGAAAATAACAACTGAACTACTCTCTCCATCCAAATTAGTGAGGGGTAAAGTGGTCTTTTGCCAAGCTCCTTATTTTGGCTTGCTTTGACTAGCAGCTACAATAGCTGTCTGGATCCAAACAAGTCCTAAGTGAGCTACATGAATGGTTCAATGCATCTGCCATGTTCCTCGACAAACACAAAGTCGAAACCCAAAAAGCTAGATGATTGATCTCAAGGCAGACATACCACTGAGGCTGCAATTTCACGTAACAATTTTGATTTTTGGCATCAAATTTGTTATTAACACACTTTGATATCAAGAGATGAACAAATATTCTTTAGATAATAGATAGATGTATCTGATTTCATCCCCATTGAAGAGGAATTAATCCACCTTATTACAGCTCGACCCTTCAAGGCAAACAAAGTAGTCTAAAACTGAATTCAACTCAAAACCAATTCTAAATATCGAAGCCATGCAATGTTTGGCAAGCCCCACCACAATCGCTTGTAGATCCTCACCCCATTGTAATCGGGCTTAGAACCAAAGCCAGTGGTTCCACCTGAATAGAACCTAGAAAAGATTGGATGGGCATTTGTCAAAATAACTTCGTTCATTGTTATTTAAATAGACTATTGTTGCAGCGGTCAATAAAATGATTGAAAAGTTTTATCTCTCCGAGAATACCAATCATTAAACATATTTTGGGCCTTTCGAGGTGGATTAATTTCCTAGCACTATATGGATTGCTCTCCACAGCACATGGCATGGGAGCACTCAAAGAAAAGATGTTACATGGTTCTGGGTTTGCTGCAAAAACAACCTAAAATATCACCATTCAAGTTCATCTTTGCTAAAGTACCCTTAGTGAGAATAACCCCTATTTTGAAGAGCCAGAGAAAGATTTTAAACTTCAAAGGGATCTTAAGCCTCCAATACTTGTGAAACTTAAACCATTACTGACCAAGTAGCTATACATCGAGTTCACTATGAAAAAATCCTTATTATGTAGGCTCTTGACTAATATTAGCCGCCACCCTTGCTACTAGATGATTATTTCAATAGCTTGTTCCCCACTAATACTCTTCTAAACTCAACATTAAGCCAAACCGTGCTTAATACGTCTACAAATCTTTGCTTGTTTTATGTGAGCAATGTTAAAAAGCGTTGGGTACTAGGTCTTCAGCGGTTGGCTTCCTAACCAAATATCTTCCCAGAACCTCATTTGGTTTCCATCGTTTAACCTAAAAGTACCCAAACTCAAGAAGGTTTCATGTGCACTCATGATACGCATACAAAAAAGTGCATCTTCTGCATTTTTGTCAACTTGTGACATCGCCTACATATGTAATATATTTATTTTTAGCTTCGCTTCAAGATGGTATAAATGGAATCAATGACCAAACCAAGGTTGGCTATGCACTGTTGCTGTTTCGATGATTGGACGCCAAAGGGGCAAGCTAGCTAGGCTTTGTTTTCAGCCCACCCAATGCAAGAATAGTTGATGATTTTTATGTAAATTGTCCTTATGACACAGTACTGATAGAAAATAGTCCCCCTTTTTGCATGCCGCTGTTGTATTTTGAATAAGGCAACCAAAAAGCACTGCTGCGGAGCAGACAAACCATGGCAAACTTGTACCACTTAAAAAGGGACACAAAGTTCCGTACCAGTTACCATGCCACGCCATACAAACACTGGCAAAATTATTTTGCGCACCTTCATTTGCAGCTTTTACTAGGTTCTGTTCATGCATGTGAGTTTCTTGTACACTATCACTATGTCTATGACACGCCACGGGTATACTCGTTGACTTATTTTGATGTTGCGTATATTGGTTCTGTGCCCATTTGATCGATCGTTGAACACTGACAACCGGATGGATCAAACCTTGTACAGCATGCCGATCTCGACTCGCTGTTGCAGCGGCGTCCCCAGCGCCGGCAGTGCGGAGCGACAGATGCCGTGCAGGAACTCGTAGAACCCGAGCATGACCCTGTCGAACCAACCGGCGTCCTCGCCCACGTAGAACCTCATCTTACCCCGAACGTGCACCACGCCGGCCATCCTCGCCGCCTCCAGGCGCGCGGCCTCCTCCGCCCCCTCCTCCGTCGTCGTCTCAAAGTGCCGCCGCAAGGAGCTCGTGACCTGCGCGGTGAGGTCGCCGTCGACGAGGCTGTCGGCGTACCCGTACTGGACAGTGCAGCCGTACACCCCGTTCGGCCCCAGCCTCCTGACGAGGATCCTCTCCCGCTCGTCAACCTTGGTCACCAGCAGGTACCGCAGGGTGACGAAGACCGTGACGGCGTGCAGCGAGCTCATGTTCTTGATGTAGTGGCCGAGGATGGGGGTGAGCCCGTCCTGGATGTTGCTGTAGAAGAAGCACAGCCCGGGGACCCTCTGCACCTCCGGCCTCGCCAGGAGCTCGCTGAGGCGCTCCACGGTCACCTTGTTCGCCATCTCGTACTCCATCTTCCGTTGCCTGCCGTAATACCAGCCGAACATGACCAGTGCCAGGATGATGGACACTGCAAAGGGGAGCCACCCGCCTTCAGGGATCTTGGTGAAGACTGCACTGACATAAGATCCTTCCATGATGAAGAAAGGCACGAAGTAAAGCGCCACAAGAATAGGTGGTGTTCTCCATATAATGATCATCACCAGAGTGAGCATGATTGTGGTTATGAGCATGACCATGATGACCACAACACCTGCAGTAACAATCATGCATCAGTTCTACAGGAACAAAGCATGCAGTTGCGTATCAGCAGATGCAGCATTTTGCAGAATTCACTTACCAAATGCGTTTCCGATCGCATTTCCAGCATCAAAGCCTAGTACCACACTAACGCATAGTACCATGAGGATGTAATTGGTTTCTGGGGAGTAAACCTCCCCTTCTTTGTGCTGGGACGTGTGCACCACCTTAACGCGTGGGAAGTAGTCCAGGACAACGGATTGCTTGATGACAGAAAATGTTGCAGATATTAAGGATTGGCTTGCGACGATTGCTGCCAGCGTTGCAATGATGAACATGGGCCAGTAAACAGGGCGAGGGACAAATTTGTAGAATCCGTCACTGAAGTCGTTAACATTGTTGATGAGGTATGCTGTTTGCCCAGCATATGTGAGGACCAAAGAAGGATATATGCTAGACAGAAATGCTATCTGAAAAACAAGACATAGCGTTTAACTGACCATATCATGGACAGTTCACAAGGAAAGGACCTCGAGGTTGCAATGTTAATGAAAAATAACCTGAATACCCTTCTTACTGAAGTGGCCAAGATCTGCAAACATAGCTTCAGCACCTGTATGCATGAAGGATTCGTGGTTATGTTATTAATGCAGCATCATATTTGATGGATCAAAAGACAAAAGCATGGCAGTGATAAAGTTGTTACCTGTGATGCATAGAACAGTTCCACCGAGCATGCGCCACCCTTCCTTTTTATTTCTCAGGAAGAAACGAACAATATAATGCGGTGAGATGGCTTTGAAAATGCCGGGATAGTAATGAACAATGCTATACAAGCCGATAATTGGAGTGGTGAAAGTCCATGCTGCCATGATCGGTGAAAACAGAAAGCTCACTTTTGAGGTCCCATACTTTTGCAGTAAGAATAAGCCGATAAGGATCACAGCAGACAGAGCTTCGACTACAGCTGTGATATTGAAAGGAAGGATCAGTCTATTAGCAATGCCTGTGTCAGAAGATTGTTGTAATTACTCCTTGGTTACAGCTGTCAAACCACTTACGCTTGCTGACAGAAGGAAATGGCCCTTTCAACCCTTCAATCGCTGATAATACTGAAATGATGTGGTAAAGAATGAAGTGACAGATGTCGCTGGGATCACAAAAATGACTATCTTAAGCATAGGGACAAACCTGAAATAGCAGGAGTGAGTATGCCATCCCCAATGAGCATGCACATTCCCAGTATTGCCATGAACAGCAGTGCTCTTCTGGCTGTTATGCTTCGCTCAAAGAACTTCCCCAGCCAGCTAGGCCTTCCAGCTCTTGCAGACTGATTCTGAAGTAGAGGCTGTTCTTCCGAATAAACTTTTTTGGAAGGCAGTATGCCTATATCAGCATGCCTACACAACAGAGAGTACATGGCAAATGTACCTCCTACAGAAAAACAATGCTCTTATTAGTGTGTTACAAAGTAATATTCGATCTGCCCATGTAAAGAGAAGTCTTCTCAAGAAACTACAGCCCCACCTCTGTCAGGCCTTTCAGTTCAGTTCGTCAAATAAGTTGACTGAGCAATGATAGATAATATATACAGCAGAGATGAAAGTGATCTAAGATAGATGCAAGGTCCAAAATATCAAAACTTTCAGAACTAAGTTTTCTTTCAACATGGCCACAAACTGAAAAAGAAGAACTCAAGAAAGGCAGCATGGGCACGGTAGTTACCTTCACCATGATCGTCGGCATTAAGTGCTATGCCTACATACTTGATCACACCAATCAAAGTAAGAGTCCAAAACATTATGCTGTATAACCCCATGTAGTCATCTTTTGTAGGAGATGACAAGTTCATTGAGGGGTAAACGTAGAGGGGAGACGTGACGAGACCACCAAACACGACGCCAAGAGTCTTGTAAGCAAGGGCCAGATCTTTGCGAAAATTGCCGACCTGCTCATAGTTGAGGGAAGACATTAGCATGTAATGAACCAGAAAGATAACAGTCCTACTTTCTTCTTGGCAAGGCAAATAAGAGAGCTGCACATATTGCACTGCACCACAGGGGATCATATAAAGCAAGCAGCTATCTGAATTCGTAGCTAATAACTGGAGTCAACGTCAACCAAGCATGTTGCTCAAGTGGAAATAAACGTGTGGGGCTCATGATAAACCTTGGGTCGGCACACCAACGACTTGTGATGAAAGCGATAATGAAATATTTAGTGCTTCTGATACTTTATAGGAAAAAGGAAAGGCATCGACATCGCTCCCAACCTCTACAAGTTAGGGGAACAAACAGTCACGTGATAGTGCGAGTGAAAGAGGAAAAATCTATCTAGTCATCTTGTATATGTTTATTAAATGCATACTGTATCCAGGAAGCCACTGTTCAAATTAGATTGTTTTATTCTTATAGAATACAACTAGTATTTTTCAGACCGATATGCTAATGACTCTATTTGGATGTCCTAAGAAAAAAGAGAACGAGGTAGTAAAATGAGAATAAGATCCAAACACTTGGGTTATACTATTAGATTCTACAGTAGAATCCACCTATCTACCCAAAACCTACTATTTGGATATTTTCATTGTATAAAAGCAATAATCATTATGGTAATGAGATGCAAACACCCTTCATTTTTTATCCAGAATCCAGATTCTACATTAGCTTCTAGAATCCAGAATCTCACTATGAGAATGAGAACCAAGCATGCCCTTAGTCAGGTCCTTTTTGTTTTTATTGTGCTTACCCTTAGTCAAGTCCTTGATTAAACAACGTAATACAGATGTTGAAAATTTTGGACAGGACAGAAGGACGAAGACTGCGTGCATAATGAAACGACCTCTGGTCAAGTCAACGATCAAAAGGTGTAATCACATCAATGCAACGACAGGCTACAGATGATGATAACTTTGAAAAAAATGAAAAAAAAGGACTGGCTTTTCATGAACATTAATGGAGGCAGAAAAGGAGGCAACGGGCAGGACACGCAGTTGGATCACTTAAAAAAAACAGCAGATCACCTTCCCCGTGTGTTCCCACTCCCCAGGTATAGACAGCTTAAAAAAAACAAATACTAAAGTCTCTAATGGCACTGGAAAACAGCAGAAAATGGACCTGCACTCACTGCAAGGTGACAAGGTTATTCGCTGTCAGTGAGTGATTACCGTCGCGGAACGCACGCACAAGAGCACGGGCTTTGGAAAGTGGTCCGCCACCTATCACGACCAGATCACCTTTCCCGTGTGTTCCCACTCCCCAGGTATCCATCGAAATCCCTCTATATTCCCTAGCTAGAGTGCGAGTCCACATCACCTCAATCACTGCAACTGAAAAATGCCTACTATAACTGTAGTCATGCATATGCGATATAATATTAGGGGGTAACTGTAGTCATGCATATGCAATCTAATATTAGGGGGTGTTTGGTTTCTCCTTCTAAGCTTTAGTTGTTGTCTCATCGGATGTTTGACACATGCACAGAGTATTAAATATATACTAATTACGAAACTAATTGCACAGTTTGCGGCTAATTTGCGAGACGAATCTTTTAAGCCTAATTAGTCCATGATTTGACAATGTGGCGATATAGTAAATATGTGCTAATGACGCATTAATTAGGCTTAATAAATTCGTCTCGTGGAGTACCAACGGATTCTATAATTTATTTTTTTATTAGTATCCGAACATTCCATACAACACCCTCACATGACACCTCCTATATTTTAGTCATTAGATCGAACACCCACTACAGCTGATGGGCCTGTTTACTGGTTGGTGCTGGTACTGGTTTGGGCTGGCTGGTGCTGGTTTTTTAAGAGAAAAACACTGTTGGCTGGCTAGTTTGGGCTGGCTGAAACCAACCCGCCACTGCATGTGAATGAAAAGCTTTAATTTAATTTGTTTTCTTGTGACAAGAGCGTACAGTACTTATGCTACTACGGAACCACAGCGGGAGGAGATCCCCGAAGATCACGAAGGCTCGAATTCGAGTGAAAACAAAAAGGGAGTCTAGTACGTACAGTCTTATCTCTTATGTAAGGAAGGAAGGTGGGCGGGGTTTTGTTGTGCGAAGCGAACTAACCTCCGCCTGCTCATATTCGGGTGGACCGCCGCGGCCGCCGCCGGGCCGGCCGGTCTCGACATCCAGGTGGCTCCCCGTCGTCATGGGGAGCTCCGAGCTCCGAGCGCCGCCTCGGTGGAGCGGAGCCGAGCTAGAAACGAAGGCGGCCTGCCTCTGCCTGGTGCTGCTGCTGTCTGACGGCCGCACGGGGGCGAGGCTGATGAGTACTGGCCTTTATCGCCCTGGTCTTGGCCCATAAGCCAGCTAACGAAAAATATTTTTTCGGGATCTAAATCGCCACGTGCCCGTGGTGATCTGCGAGCTCTGCGTATAGAGACTGGGTCTGCGCCACGTGCTACTGACGGACGGACTGGACAGATTGGAACTGGAGGCAGAGGACAGATCCCAGGAGCCCGCGACCGGACCGCGAGTAGTGTGAACGGGGACCGACACGGCTTTGGGCCCTGGCCCTCTGTTGTGTGGTGTTGTGGGCTGTGAGTTTAGGTAAGGCGAGCGCGAGAGAGAGGGCTGCTCCCTGGGCCCTGGCATCCAGCCCATGGCCTCATGCTGCTCAACCCGCCGTCAACAGCGATGCTCCATGCTCTCGTCAACCATGCCCCAGAAAAATCCTAAAGCTCCATAAGATGTATGTACTACTACCTCAGAATAGTACACCCAGAACGCGACAGTCTTTTAAGTTTTAACATACATACATGCAGCAGACAAAAACATCTAAAACAAAGTCAATCTTAGCTGGGACAAGTGATTCGTCTTGGTTTGTCACAGTCACTATCCCACGCACGCGCCGCCGGCCGGCATGCATATGCATTCACCAAGTCGTCAAAACGCAGCCTCGTGGTTGCTGATTTGTATAGCGTCTCGCTCGCTGCTGGCTCGCATCACCTTCTGCATCATATCGCCGACATGGTTGGTGGTGGTGCGTCACGAGATCTGACCCGCCATGGCGTCAAAGACTGGAGCGTGATGCAATGCAGCTCGCGGAGATCTAGGGATGGTTGCCATGCCAGCCAACTAATGCAATGCAATACTGCGAGCTACGGACGGGAAGGAAGCGGAAGGAGAGGAGATATGCCCGCGACCGGACCGCGAGTGTGAGCGGGGACGGACACGGCGGCCCTGTGGTGTGGCGGTATGGGCTGTGGCCTGCGGGTTAGGTAAGGCGTGAGAGGCCGAGAGGGAGGGAAGCTGGGGCCCAACAGCTCTCATGGGCCGTGCATCGCCACGCAACGGAGAAGGTAACCGACGTGCTCCCTGGCATTCAGCCCACGGGCCAGCCATGCAGCTGATTCGAAGTGCTCAACCAGTCAACAGCGATGCACAATGCGCTCACCAATCCAACCTAATCAGATTATATAGGCCGGGCCCGTTTCTTTGAACCTTAGTAGCTTTTAGTTGTTTTTTTCTTCAAAGTTGACTTCCTACCTTTGGTTTCCAGACGTTGACATTTTCCTATCGTTGGCTTTCGTAATAAACTTTTGGCTTCTCCGCATAAAGGCACAAAAGCTTCTCTCAGCGTGGGCTTTTCTAAAGGGCGTGCCTAGCGTCCCGAACGTCCGGACGCCCGCACTGTTGCCTCCTGTCTCGCGTCCTGCGCCTGCCCGCCCATGTCTCGCCGTTGTACCCGCCCGCACCAATGGGGACCACCTCATGCAACAATTGCAACATACGTTTGAAAACAAACAAAATATGCGTCTGAAACACTTGCAGAAACACCTGAAAAACACTTGAAACCATTGTAAACATATACAACCTCCAGATAAAACACTTACATCATATGTATGAAAACATATGCAACATCCAGATAAACACACTTACAACACACGTCGGGAAAAACAGATCAAACATTGAGGATAGAAGCTTTCAACATAGGTGTACAACCATTGCAACATGTGCAACATCCCGATCTTCTTTTGCAACATCCGTATAAAACACTTGCAACATACCTCTGAAGCATTTGAAACAAACACTTGCAACATGCAGTTTCAGCGCAAACATCCCATTGTTGCTTGGAGAATGGAGGCTCGTCGGCATGTGGAGTTCGTCGTAGGCAGCGGCTACTGTGACAGGCACGGAAATGGGCCTCATGACCTCGCGTCGCGCTTAAGGTGGCCGCAGAGCCGAAGCGCCGCGACTTCAGAAGCGGCTACATGCCCGGGCGAGCTTGGCAACCGCGCCGCCGCGACTCACAAGCAGCTGCACGCCGAAACCAGGAGAGGCGCCACACACCACATTTGGTAGGCTGGCAGTCGAGTGCCGCAAGCGGGAAAGGAGCGAGACGCGGGGGAGTTGATTTTGTTTTTCTATTAGGTGAGCAGCTCATGCATCAGTGAGTGGAGCGAGACGTCCCGCCTTTCGGACGTTTTAATGGTGGCATTACCATTTTCTAAAGCCAGCACAACAACCGTGTTATTTGTTTTAGCTTCTACTCTCTCTATCTGAAAGAACAGATTTCTAGCGAGTTTAGGATATGACAGATTAGCAACCAAGAGAAAAGACCTTAGTACCATTATTAGGCCCTGTTTGCTTTCGACAGTCGTTTCTAAAATTTCTGTCACATCAAATGTTTGGACATATGCATGGAGTTTTAAATATAGACTAATTACGAAACTAATTGCACAACTTACGACTAATTTGCGAGACGAATCTTTTAAGCCTAATTAGGCCATGATTTGACAACGTGGTGGTACAGTAAACATGTGCTAATGACAGATTAATTAGGCTTAAAAAATCGCCTTGCAAATTAGCCTCCATATATGTAATTGGTTTTATAATTAATCTATATTTAATGCTCTTATTAGTATTTAAACATTCAATGTAATATAAATTTTAGGAGCGATTAAAGAATCAGCACCACTTTAAACTTTTTAACTTTAACTGTACACACCACTTACCGAGACGCTAGAGCGACCAGTTTTGAAATAATAATTAAATACTGTTGTACCCACTACATCAACCATTGGAGGATGATCTCTAGGAGAAACAAATGGGTACATTGACCGATGTAAACTCAGCAACCAATTTTGATGTTTTCAATAATAATTAAATATTGTTGTACCCACTACGTCAACTATTGGAGGTTTGATGTTTTCAATAATAATTAAATATTGTTGTAGCCACTACATCAATTATTGGAGGATGATCAGTCTATTCGGTTGAGCTTATACGATCATAAATGATCGTAAATTTTTAGTCAAAATAGTATTTTTCTCACATCAAACTAGCCAACAGTACTTCTTCATAATCCAGCAACGAACAAGCACAGCCAAACGAACAGGCTGGATGTCTATGGGAAATAAATGAGGTCCCGTTTAGATCCAAAAATTTTTAGATTTTGGCTCACTGTAGCATTTCGTTTGTATTTGGTAATTAGTGTCTAATTATGAACTAATTAGGTTCAAAAGTTTCGTCTCGCGATTTCTCATCCAATTATGCAATTAGTTTTTTCCCTCTACATTTAGTACTCCATGCATGTGCCACAAAATTTGATGTGACGAATACTGCGTAAAAATTTTTGGAATCCCTGAATGGGTACATTGACCGATGCAAACTCGGAGGAAATAAGTGGGCCTAATGGATGGTGAGAACCAGGCGTTGATTTTGGGTGGTGCACCGGCACCAGGCAAGAAAATATATTTAATACTATTTTGACCATAAAATCAGTTGTAAGAAGACATATTTCTACACCGTTGTTAACGTTGGACACCACCATAAATTTAGTACTAGCTTCGCCTCTGGTGAGAACCTAGAATTTGATTTATTTTAGATAAAATTTCAGTCTAGAAATATATTGTTTCAGGAGAGAGAGAGGAGTAACTTCTAGCCAGGAGAAGGCAGCAAAAAGCTAAAACAAGCCCATAGCATTGGACGGTTAAGGTCGGCTTAGAATTACTTCACTAAAAAAACAACAACACTCCTGAGTCTTGTTGCCAAACATGTTTGGTTTCAGCAACTCAGTTTCATCGATTCTGCTCAAGAAAAATCGTGGATCAAGATTAGCTCTAAGAATTTTGTAGAACTCTACTTCAGAATAGTGCACCCACGACGCGACGGAGTCATTTAGCAGATGCAAAAGACAAAAAACGTCTAAAAGAAAGTCAATCTTAGCTGACAGATGGTTCATCTTGACAGATCCACAAAAACGTCGTCGGCAGATTTTCAAAGAAAGTCAATTGCAAGCTGACAGATGGTTCATCTTGATTTGTCAAAGCCCCTGATCCACAATCCAGAAGCAGTCGTCGGCAAATTAATGTCAGTGAAAAAACTTAGAATTTTGATGCAATCTAAACAAGTCCTCACTATCCCACGCGCGGCCGGCCGGCCACCGGCGTGCATTCAATTCACCAAGTCGTCAAAACGCAGCCTGGACAAATCTTTTAGGCTCCTCGTGGTTCGTGAACCATTGCCCAGGCGTAGTAGCCGCCGAGTAGCCCGGTGGCGGTGATCTCTTTTTCTCTTTTGATGAAGCCGCCCGCCCGCCGCCCGGTGATTTGTTTAGCAATCTCACTCGTTGGCCCGCGTCACCTTCTGCATCGCGACATGGTTGGTGGTGGTGCATCACGAGATCTGATCCGCCAAGACATCAAAGATTGGAGCGTGATGCAATGCAGCTCGCGGATATCTAGGGATGGTTGCCAAGTCATCAGCCAACTAATCCACCTCCTGCGCGGTGTGCACGGCCGGCCGTTTTATACTGCCGGCGTGGCCGTGGTCACGCGCCGTGTTGAGTTAGAAGAGAAATTGACTATAGAGGGGCCATGTATTAACTAGTAAACCACATCGTGGTTGTAGTCACATATATAATAGAATATGTTTCACAAATCCTAACCAAAAAAGTTACATATTTCCTCCGTCCCCCAAAAGAGTGTTTTTTTTAATTTTCAAACATCTTGTTTGACCATCCGTCTTATTCACATTTTTGTATAAATATCATTTATTTTGTTACGACTTATTTTATCATTAGAGAAACTTTAATTATGATTTGTTTATTTTATAATTTATACAAAAATTTTAAATAAAACGAACGATCAAACACGATGTTTAAAAGTAAAAAACGTCACTCTTTTTAGAACGGAGGGAGTATCTATTCATGCATCTAAATATCTTATCCAACTTTGTGTGAGGTGTCGCCTGCCCTGAGCATGATTTGTATAAGGTGAATATTCTAGCCAATTTGGACTGTTGATTAAATGATAAGATAAGAGAATACTACTTGATGATTAGGGATTACCTGCTGCTGCCAGTGGCCTGCGGACAATTTGGACGAGAAACGGCGGTGTCAATTTGGGACGCAGGCAGCGGCGCGGCGTGGCGTCTCACATCCGGCCTCCCAGTCCGGCTGTACCGGCGTCTGGCAAACTGGCAAAGCAGAAGAGAGAAGACGAACAGACTAGAACAGTCTACGGCCAGCGGCCGTCTACGCGAGAAAAGAAGGCTTGAGGCCTTGTTTGCTTCACTGAAAAGCAAAAGTCTGAAAAGTACTGTCCGCTGATATTTTTTGTGAGAGAAAAACATTGTGCCATCTGATAAGTCAGACTGATAATTCACGACCTTAATGAAGATATCAGCCGGATAAGCTTAAATAAGCTGCTTCTTATTGGGCCTATAAGACACTTCACGTTTGTGCTGAATGGAAGGGGCTGAACAGCTAGTATTATATATTATACATACTAACTATATATTAAGAGCCTGATTGGACAAAGGTTTTTTACATGAATTTTTGAGGAAAACTTTCCAGAGGAAAGGAACCGCACGGATGCGTTTGGAACGAAGGAACGCTGAAATCCTTTCCAAAGGAAAGGGAATGTTTGATGTGCAAAACGCAGGAAATAAAACCTCCACTGTGACCCAAGGGAATCGATCTTCGTCGCCTCTCCCGCTCTGGTGCTCTCTCACTACTGGCCTTGCTTGCTCCCGTTGCTGCCTCTTCGATCCATGAACTGTGCAGAAAATTAGTCAATGACTACTGGCCATGGAGCCATGGAGGGGTCAGCAGCTGTGTGCCCGCGCTTGCGGCAGCGGGGCGGGGAGATGAGGAGGCTGGCCGGGCGCGGCGACCGCGCGCGGGCGCAGGGACTACCGAGGCGGCCGGACGGGGACGGCCTCACCTCAGGAGCTTGCAGATGAACCGAGGTAGAAGAACCAGGTGTTAAGTGAGAGAGATAACTACACCGTGGGTCCCGCACTATATATAATAAGATAGCATGAGTAAAGAAGACAATTGTATATTACTATACCCCTTTTCAAAAAAAATATTACTATACCTTAATAACATGTCTGGCCAATTAATAAGTACGTAAATCAGACCCAAAAATAATTAAGTGAATTGACAGAAGTAATTTGTTCCTAAACAAAATAAAAAAGCTGTTTTGTTGCTTGGACATGTGGTGATGCAGTTTGTCGTTTCCTGTGATCCAAACAGCTCAAATGTTCCATTCCTGCCTTTTGGAATCCTGCGGTTTTTCAGTTTTCACTCACCTTCGTTCCTACGTTTTTTCCTATTCCTTTGTTTTGCAATCCTCCGTTCTAAACAGGTCCTAAGGAATTAGTAGCACGTCAGCGGATGCCAGGCATGAGGTGGTAGTGAGTTGTTTTACATACCCCGCGGGGGAGGTCCATTTTTTGCCTTAATACCAAAGAAAACAATGAATTAGAGCAACTCCAAGAGATAAGCGATCTGTGTGTTGGAGTCAAATTAAGGAATTTTTGAAAGAAATAAGGCTCCAACAGCTTTTCTACCGAGCTCTCTAAAATAGCAAGTCATCTATCTGGGACTCTTCGCTCGCTAGAAAAAGCATACAACACCTGCTCGACATTCTGCCCTCTCGCGCCATTTTTGTGTGAATGGATTCTTTTTCCAGCACACCTAGTAGTGTATCACCTCCCGTCGGGATGGACCTTCCCTGGCCGCTCACCTCCCGGTCCACCCTTCACGCACCTCCCGTCGAGAGTCCTGGCCCCGTCCGACGTCCAGACAGCTCGCGTCGAAAGTCCTCATACGCGCGGTAGCCAGGGGCGGCGGTAGGAGTATGCCCCTGTATTCCTTGGCATACCCAAGATTTGTGAGAAAAAAATAAATATGTATACACAGATTTATACGTATATTGATACATTCACGTTATATGTATCAAGTGGATGGAGGAACTAGCACATAAAATCAGGATTGAGAAAACACATTGGTGCTGTCAGTAGTGCTCATGCTGAAGCTCAAAAAAATATGACAGGTTCACTACACCTACAACATCAATTCGGGAGTCTATTGCTTCTAACACCACATAGTACAAAGACTTATATAAGCTCCGTTTGACATGGACACTCAAGTGCTTGAGATTTTTGTTGCGCCAAGGCTTGGCATTTAGAGGGCATGATGAAAGTGAAGAGTCACTAAACAAAGAATTTTTTCTTGAGCTTTTGAATTGACTTACAGGGAATTTTGATGAGGTTGACATAGTGGTTCTAAAGAATGCTCCACAAAACTATAAGATAACATGCCATGAAATACAACATGAGCTCGTCAAGTATTGTGCCCAACAAACTACTAAGCTAGTCATTGAAGAACTTGATGGTCAACATTTTTTCATACTTGCCGATGAGTCTGCTGATGTATATCAGAATGAACAGCTAGCCGTTTGCTTGCGTTATGTTGATAAAAAATGAAGAGCGGTTGTTAGGTTTCTTGGTATTGCCCATGTTGAAGATACTAGTGCTATGACACTTAAGGCTACAGTGGAGCATATAGCATTTAGTCCACTTGATTTATTTGCTGCTTATGATCAAGCCAAGTTGGTTACACTTGCTACAAAAAGTTTTATCCTAAGGATTTCACAAGTGATGAATTATCAAAACTTCCATGGCAGCTTACTACGTACATTTCTCATGTTCTTAGAGGTGAAAGGTTTAAAAATTTGAAAAATCTATGTGAGCTTTCAGTTAAGGTTGTGGACACAAAAAATATGAACAATATTATGTTGTTTACAAGCTTCTGAATTTGGTGCTAATTCTTTCCGTAGCCACTCCTAGTGTTGAAAGAGTGTTTTTCGCGATGAATTATGTGACGAACAAGCAAAAGATCAAAGTGGGTAATGAATATTTGAACAATTGCTTGGTTATATTTATTGAGAGGGAATTCTTCAGTCAAGTGAAAGATGAGGATATTATCAATCTCCTCTAAAAAGGGGATCATAGAGTTATATTATAAGTAGCATTTACTATTTTGTTATATTTCTTAATTATTAGAGACAGCGGCATTATGTTTGGAACTTTTACTTTGGTTATTATTATAGATTTGTTATGGCTATTATAACTTATGGTCCATTATATTATTATATATATATATAGGTTATTCTGCAGCTGGTCATAGAATAACTTATTCTATAGCCACCTTGATTTACGATAATATTTGTACCAATTTACGATAACATGAATATGCATTTACGATCCTCGTGTTACTACAACTTACGGTGATATTTACGATAATGTTGTAGTAAATCACTTAGTAAGGAGTTACTGTAATCTCGTAAATTAGCATGGTAATTATCCTAACTCAAAGTGGCCACAGAATAAGTTATTCTATGACCAGCTGCAGAAAAGTAGCGCGCTCTCTCTCTCTCTATATATATATATATATATATATATATATATATATATATATGCTTTGAATTTTTTTATACGCGACGTACCCAGCTGCAGATTCCTGGCGGCGGCCAAGTACCGCTGGCTCCATCCACGCGCCTCACGTCGGAGATCTCGTCCATCGGCCATGGCACAGCTGGTCACCACAGGCTGCTGCTAGGCGAACGTTTCCTGGACGCACGCGCTGGCTGGCGGCTGCTGCAGGGTGCAGGCGCACGCGCTGGCCACAGGCGCAGGCGGCAGGCGGCAGGCCGCAGGTGCTCGGTGGTGGCTCGGACGCTCGGTGCTGGCTATCCTCTCCGTGGTGCGGGGCTGTCTGGCAGCCCGACAATCGAACGTGCGGCGGAGGCTTTGAAGACAAACTTTGAAACGTTTCTCTGAAAGCTCTTTTTTTATATAGGAGAGACTTTCTGCAGGCCTTATTAGTTCAGGCTACCTAATTTATTCTCTAAAAAAGAGCACAAATTGTACCATCTCAACGATTTGGTGATCGTGCCACTATATAGGACCGTGCATACTGCTCAATCAAGACTTCACTCCCCACCTTGCATCTGCACGTACATATCTCCCAAGAAAAATGGACGCTTCAACCACGCTATGGTTCCTCTACGTCTCACTCGCCTCCTTCCTCCTCTACAAGCTCTTCGCTTCAACCAAGACGAGCTCAGGCAAGGCGCGGCGGCGCGCACCGGGCCCGGCGCCTCTGCCGCTCGTCGGCAACATCCTGGAGCTCCGGGGCGAGCCGCACCACGCCCTCGCCAGGCTTGCAGAGACGCACGGTCCGGTCATGTCCCTGAGACTGGGCACCACCGACGCCATCGTGGTCTCCTCGGCCGCGGCGGCGCGCGACGTGCTGCAAAGGTACGACCACGTGCTGGCGGCGCGGTCGGTGAGCGACGCCGGGCGCGCGCTGGGGAACCACGAGCACTCCGTCATCTGGCTCCCATGCACCAGCCCGCTGTGGAAGCGGCTCCGCGCCGTGTGCACCAATCACCTCTTCTCGGCGCGCGCGCTGGACGCGACGCGCGCCGCGCGGGAGGAGGGAGTGAGGCAGCTGGTAGCTTGCCTGGGCCGCCACGCCGGCGCCGGCGACGGCGAGGCCGTGGACGTGGGCCGCGCCGTGTTCTCGTGCGTGCTCAACCTCGTCTCCCGCGCGCTCTTCTCCGAGGACGTGGTGGCCGACCTGAGCTCGGACCGCGCGCAGGAGCTGGAGATGCTGGTGAGAGACACCGTCGAGGAGGTCACCAAGCCCAACCTCTCGGACCTCTTCCCCGTGCTCGCCAGGCTCGACCTGCAGGGCCGCCGCCGTCGCTCCGCTGAGTTCGTGGCGAGGTTCTACGACTTCTTCGACCCGATCATCGCCCGCCGTGTCGAAGCGCGCGGCAGTGGTGAAAAGATTGATGATGATTTCTTAGACGTGTTGCTTCAGCTTCACTCGATGGATCAACTCAGCCTGCAAACCATCAAGTCTTTTCTTTTGGTACGTTTCTGTCCATTTCATCGTGTTGACATATTCATCTCTCCCGAACCGTCCGAAATATATGGTCCGCAAATTTGGCACTGACCTTATCTCAATCTTTGGATTTATCAAAGATCCTCGACCAATCAGTGGCATTTTTTTTCTGCGTCCGCCCATGCAGGATCTGTTTGCCGCTGGAACCGACACGAACGCGATCACGGTGGAGTGGACGATGGCCGAGCTACTCCGGCACCCGGCGGTGATGTCCAAGGTCCGCGCGGAGCTGCGGGACGCGCTGGGCTCCAAGCCGCACCCGGACGAGTCGGACATCGGCAGGCTGCCATATCTCCGCGCTGTGGTGATGGAGAGCATGCGGCTCCACCCGCCGAGCCCGATGCTGATGCCGCACCTGGCCATGGCCGACGGCGCCGAGGTGGGCGGCTTCGAGGTGCCCGCCGGCACCAAGGTGATCATCAACCTGTGGGCGATCATGCGCGACCCGGCGACGTGGGCGGAGCCCGAGGCGTTCTCGCCGGAGCGGTTCGTGGGCGCGAGCGACGCGGACTTCCGTGGGAAGGACCGGCTCGAGTTCATGCCGTTCGGGGCCGGGCGGCGGGCGTGCCCCGGCACGCCGATGGCCACGCGGGTGGTGACGCTGCTCCTGGCCTCCATGCTCCACGCGTTCGAGTGGAAGCTGCCCGAGGGGATGCAGCCGGCCGACGTGGACGTCAGGGACCGGTTCGGCACGTCCCTCAACATGGTCACGCCGCTCAAGGCCGTGCCGGTGCCGTCGCACCGGTGACTCACTGCTACGGCTTATTGTGCGTGTACGGTGTAGCGGATATAGGCCATGTTCGCTAGTCTTGTAATCTGTATTTTTTGTAATCTGTATTTTTTGGCTTGTTTTTTTAGTCGAAATAGTGTTTTTCTCTCACAACAAATCAGTTGAAACAATATTTCAGCTTGTTTTTTCAGCGAAGCGAACGGGGCTATATTTTTGCTTGTGCTAGGCCAGTCTCAATTGGATCGTCGTAGTGGTTCATGGACGTTAAATTAGATGATGTGGCGTAGTATAAATGAAGAGATAGGTGAAAACAATTTTATCGGATGAAATAGGGATGAAATAAATTTTATAGAGAAGAAACTTGTATACACTGTTTTCAACGAGAATCTCGAAAACAGGGAGCTGAAACTTACAGAGACAGAGATTCTAGGAGAAGAGAGAGATTCTAGGAGAAGACCTATATGGCTATATCCAACTGCCGAATCCTGAAAATCCAACTATCCACCTCTACCTACTATTTAGAGAGAATGGGTGCGGGACACCTTCAAATAGAGTTTTAAAATTTGGTTTTACATGTTTTATTGGGCGTCCAAAATTACCAAAATTCATGAAATCCGAAAATTCTAATAAAAGGAAATCAAATAAATTGATCCTATGGTGTTCATAGTTTTTTAAAGAGAATGGCATGAGATTAATCCCTGCACCTCCTTGAAGGTGGAGGTAGAAACTTTCTATTAGGCTAAATGCTAACCAGTGTATTTTAGCTGATACAAATTCTATTTAATGTCTAGATATTGATACACTTTTTTTCTCGAACATAGTGTGTAGCTGAAACCGTTTAGCTAAAAAGCGTGTGTTGACACAAAAATGTGGCGATATGATCAACACATAGCAAGCCGGAAGATCTGAGTGGAATGAGACTAGAGATCTGCTTGGCTTCAACACAGAACCAGTAGATTCTGAAAACCCAACGACGTGCCAGTCAATTTAACCTGCAATTGACAAGGAGAGAAAATCATATCAGTAATTTAAGGTGGAACATGTCGATGTTGCATCAAACAGTTCCAAATGTACGACGAGATAGCCGATTCAATGAGGCTATCGACTAAATAGTCGATATCCAGCGTATCCATGAAATGAAGATCTTTAAATTAAGGATTATCGGCTAATATTAAATGATAATATGAATCAAAATAACCGATGCTTATGGAACATCAGAAAGCATCATCGGCTAAATGGAACATGATCGAAATAAAGCGTCGAGCCGATAAGTTTGATAAAAAGAGTATAACATGCGAACAAATTAACTGTCTAATATAAATGAATCTACAAATAGTTTTGAGTCTAATATATTATTATCAACAGTGAGGTTCGATCGGATCGATACAGCTATGATAATGATAATAAACTAAAGCCAAATAATATATAAAACCATCTATATGTGGACAGATTTATGAAAACATGCTATATGCGTGAGAGTATAGGCAAATCGGCTAAAATAGCCGATGCAGTCATAGCAAACAAACATAGTACATATCTTGATCATGAACAAGACCACTAATCGATAATTTCTAATCTAAAGTCTTACCAGTGAGGTTCGATCGGATCGATGCAGCTATGGTAGTGTTATTAGATTAGATCTCATTAACTAGTGAGTTTATTCAAGATTGAAACATGTCTTTGGATGCATACTATGTTTGATCGGAATAGAGATAAAATAGCCGATCTACCGAAATTAAGCCATCAATTGTAAGATTTAAAGCGTGACCAGATCAAAGGACGACCAATTAAGATGATATGATGCCGCTCTATCTCTATCTCAATCGGATGATTTTGTTATAATTAATAAAATATTAATTATAGCAAGATCGATAACTGGTGAATCAACCAAAAACAGCAGGGAAAATATAACAAATCTTAGCAGATTCGATAATAAGTGATATTGTATTAAACAACAAGTTATTTAACACAAGATCGATAACTTTGATCTATATTATGATTCGTAAGGGATCAATCAGCTGATGCAACCTTACAAACTACGATACAGATCGATAACTAACTTATATTATAGCTAATAAAAGATCAATCAGCTGATGCAGCTTTACAAGCACAATACAAGTCGTGACGGTACTCACAAGTAAGCTGGAGATCGATTAGTCGATGCAGCCCTGTTTGTTGAAGAACTCGCTGAGATTTACAGTACTCCTACTCCTAGTGTAATGGCAAAAGCCGAAAAGATTGTATTGATTGAGTGTTCCTTTTTTTATAATAACCAGGGTTTGATATTTATATCCGGAACCCAAATATAAATCCTACTCAAATATGATTCATTACAATTCTTGGAATAAAAGAAAACTTCCTAACTTAATAATAACTTGGACCCTAATTTTTTTTATTTGTAGAGTCCGACACATCTTTTTGGCGCCATTCAAGCATAGCCCATTGACACTGTCTACTGACGTCATTCATAAAATAGCCGATTCTGACATCCCATCTAAATCAGTTGATACCGATTCACATCTAATCGATTTCTTGATGAGACAATCCTAGAAGCTTCGAGTTCACGCGTTCTTCTTCCTAAATTTTGATGTAAACACATGCCCCTCAATTTTGAGATAAAAATGATTTTATTCCAAAATTCCTATTCATCTGTTCACCATGTTACAACCGCTCATTCTAAAATAAATGCGTGGCTCCTGATTTCTCGGGCCAAATTCTATATAATACCCCAACAATATCATTTACAACTTGCTCGGCCTACTTATTTTCCCTTTCTTTCTCGAGCAAACTTCAACAGTCAAAGCCGCCACCGCCAAAGTCTTAACCCTAGCAAATCATCTGCTCTACCAAGCTGTCGTTAAGTAACCTTTCTCAGATTCAGATCTATTTTGGCTACAATGGCAACCAGCGACCACGTTCCTGAGGTATGCCTTCAAATGTCTTTCAAGTGTTAGCCGCTACTCTGCACTTTACTGTAACAGAACCGTCCAAATTATAAGAGCACAAGTACAAAAATGATCGCCGAAACGATCAAATTCTCGCACTTGAGCCCATATAATTCCGGTAGTCCATCGAAATCACGAAGGATTTCAAACCAACTTGCATACAGCCAAGATCGTACATGATTCAACATAACACATCACACGTTACAATATTTCACAAACAGTTCACAGATAGATTACAACACTTCAGAGTCATAGTTATTACAAACCAAGTCTTGTAAAGAAGCAGAAGCAAATAGTTTAACTTTCACACATGAGTTCAAATACAAGTACCAGCTCACCGATCACATCCCACAAAAGCATTCGGATAAGATAAACAGAGATCATGCACGTGATCTAGTCTTCGTCACCCGCAGGGTGGAGATAGTACTTACAGAAGCCCTAATAAAGAAGGTCATCTGCAATAAGAGGGAATAAACCGTGAGTACGAGAATGTACTCAGCTAGACTTACTCGTCAGAAACCAAAAATAAATGACACCAATGATCATGTATAACTTAATTTAGTGGATCTGGCTGACACTTTCTTTTTGCGGAAAAGCATAAGTAATAATGATAAACTTTTAACCAGAGCTAGCTGTGACTTTAAGCCATTAACCTGTCATCTATATTAGCACCTGTACTAAGAAATCACTTGATTAAGATGCGAACATTATTAACCATAGCAGGTATAAACTGTGGGCAACATTATCATCATCATCCATTTAACCATATCGTTAAATTAAGTGAATCTACGTTGCCACTGCTTAGTCAAGTTCTCACTACCCGGGAGAGACAGCGACTCGAATCGATTCCTATCTAGCTGGAGGGGTATTCCTAACAGAAACCTTGCTTCCCCCATCGGGGTCGCAATCAAGTCACCTTTGGTACAACTCAAGAGTCACGGGTCCGGACAACGCCGCATTCTCAAGGGCGACACTCTGCCAGGAAGTGCAGGAATTTTAAGCACCTGACCCCTTGGACTCACGCTAATGTCCCCAAGCACATCCTTACTGCCTCCAGAATGCGCACTATAACCCCCAGGTTCCTGGCCTGAGTCGAGCTACTAGGCTTCGCGGTCGGAACGACTTATCCGGCCAGCTAAGTGTTAGGCTGCGTTCAACATGACATGAGGACGTACATCATATTGGTCCTTAAACGACATAAATGGAGTCTGTAAGGAAAATAGACCCTTGGCCCATTTACTTTGGATTTTGGTGTTTGATGACCAACATAACCAAATTGGACTAATGAATTTGCAAGTGATTGTTTTGTAGTTTAATAGGGTGCAAGATGTGACTTGGACGAAGGCAAAGTGATGATCCGATGATTAAAACCATAAGCAAGACCTTAGAAGCACAAGAAAAGACCTAAGATATCAAGCAAAGTCCAAGCATGAAGATAGAAACCAAGCCATACGCAAGATCGCGAAGAAACGAGCTCACAGAAGTGACCGGACGTTGGAGCACAGTGACCGGACACTCGATCAAGGAGCTTAGCAGCAGCAGTGACCGGACGCTGGACCAGACGCTGGTGATAGATCGACCGGACGTAGGACAGCAGAGTCTGGTCGAGTACAGAGAGGTTCCAGAGCGGCAAAAATAAGACCGGACGCGTCCGGTGGCATGTGACCGGACGCTGGCATCGTCCGATCAGTTGATCGCGGTTCCAACGGTTGGGACGGCCGGACGCGTCCGATCAGGACGACTTCAGCGTCCACTCAGTAGCAGAAAAGCGGGATTTCGTCCCCAACGGCTACTTTCTCATTGGGGCTTATAAATACAACTCTCAACCGGCCAAATGAGTTAAGTGGAGTTGAGGAAACATACCAAGGGTGTTGATACACCATTTTAGTGATCTCCACTTGCATAGTGCTTAGTGATTCATTAGGTGATTAGCGTAGGTGCTTCGCGAAGTGCTTAGGTTGATTAGACCACCGCTTATGCGCTTGCTCTAGGTTTAGGCCTAGTGTTTAGTGAGGTTTGCATACCTCTTACCACTCGGTGCTTGTGCGCACCATTGTTGTACATCAGAGGGGC